AAGGCTGTCACAAAGAGAAAGGACAGGATCTCTTCTTGATCATCTCAGAGTGCAGGACATGGATAAAGGGCTCAGCTTAAAGGGAACAAGATTCCGGCCAGATATCAGGAAGAACTGTTAGATCAGTACAAAAATGGAAATCCATTATCTAGGGAAGCTGTGGGATCCCCCACGGTAGTGACATCCAAGAGGGATGGTTTAACTTGAAGCCCTGCACTGAGCAGTGGGTTGGACCTGATAGCCCAGTGGCTCCTTCCAACTCTACTATTCTGAGTCTATTAATTTTCACTCCTTCCTATGATCCTAATCCAGCTTTCTTTATGTTATGTTCTGCATACAGATTAAACAGAGAAGAGAGATAAAATACAGTCTTGTCTGATACCTTTGCCTATGGGACACCATTCTGTATCTCAATATTCTGCCCCAACAGTAGTTACTTGTTCATAGGTTATGCATCAGGATGGTCAAGTACTGAGGCACCTCCATTTCTTTTAGGAATGTTCACAGCTTTTTGTGATTCATACAGTCAAAGGTTCGCTGAAGTCTATAAAGTACAGACTGATCTTCTTCTGAAATTCTTTGGTGAACTCTGGCAGCCAACATATTGTTTTGGTTATGATCTCAAGTTCCGCTTCCTTTTTGGGATCCAGCTTTAACACTGAGCATTTCTCACTCCATATGGGGTAAAATTCTTTGTTGCATCACCTTGAGCCTCACCTTGCTTGCATGAGAAGTCAGTGCGATAGTCCTATAACTGCTGCATTCCTCAGAGTCTCCTTTCTCAGGAAGTGGAAAGTAAATTTAATCTTTCCAGTCTGTGGGAAAGACTAGGTAGATCTTGCTTGTTGTATTTGTTGGAATACTCTTGTTAGAATTTGGACCAGGTCAGTCTCTACAGCTTGGAATAGCTCTGTTGGTACTCTGTCTACTCTGGGTGCTTTATTCCTTGCAAGCGGTTTCTGAAAACAAAATTCCTGGCCTGGGCAGGGGCACAGAGGCATCTTCTCCTGTGTTCACATTTGTAAATGTCCGTTTTGCATCTGGTTTGCACTGGTGGGACTTGACCATGAAAAACAAAGTAGATCCACAGAAACAGACACATCACTCCTGAGTTTAAAGTGTGTCCTTTTCACACCCAGTTAGAATACTTGGAATTGCAGCCTATATGTGTCCATGCATATTAAATTAGATATTGAACAAATAAGGACACAATCCTATGCACGTTTAGACTGGTAACAGCCCTACAGTTCCCAGCATGCCCCAGCAAGTCTGGCTGGCTGGAGCATGCTGAAGTTTGTGGGACTCTTGTTCTGATGATGCAAACATAAGAGTTACATTCCTAATGGTCACATCATATTTTGCAGTGGCACTAAGCCAGTACTTGTCTAACATTCTTGAAAAGACAGCTTCTCTTTCTGCTTTCTCTTCCCCTTCTCAGTTTGTGAAATCGGTACACAAGCTATGTAACTTATTTACATTTCAATGTAAACAGGTTACAGACACCCATAGACCGAATCCCATCTACCCAGCCTATTCATTGCAGTGGACCCAGCAAGATGAGGTACCTCTGAGCTAAGCTGGGCAAGGTTCTTTCTAGGGCGGCTATTTTCTTTTCCATGCTTGTGACTCAGATACTCAAATGCTTGAGCAGGAGCACTCCAAATGTTCTGGATTAGAATTCCCATCAGTCCCAGGGATCATAAGAGTTCTAGTCCAAGACATCTGGAGGGCAACCGATTGCAGGAGCCGCTACAGATTCTACCATATGTAGCAGCTCTACAAAAAACAAACAATGCTTCTAAAGGTGGGCACTCTGCTCTATAAGCTCCTTCCCTGTACAGGCAGCTTCGCGATCTGTTGACTTGCCCATGGATCATCTTGAAAGAATAATGAACTCACAGAGAAACTGAATTGGCAGCATAGGATACTTTACTGTGTTATTATGTCCAGCCATTGTGTGTGATATTTGTAAGACTACCTCACTTTTGAACAGTTTTAAAGAGGATTTTCCTCATATAGGTAGAGAAACATCCCCTCGTCCCCTCCTTTGGCTTCTTTCCCATTTCAAATCAATTCCCATCACTGGCCCACTGCCCACATCCATCGTAGCTGCATCCTACTACGCCTTCCCACGCCACAGGGCTCTCTGGATAATGGTGAAGATCCTCAAACAGTAGGGTTCTTCCCTTTTAATTGGATATTATCTACTTGAAAGTGGTTCTCATATGGGTCCTTTCCTGTGCTCCCCTAGTCTGACATTTGTGTAAAATATTCACGCCACAAATTTGCTTTCCCAAACACCACCCCAAGATATCATCTAAAGGACATAGAGGTTTTTTTGGCGGGAACTGATGGAGCATTTTCTGAACCCACCCCACACATCAAAAGAAAGCAAGCTAGTTTTCTCAACCCTTGTCCTTGCCACAGCTCTGGGCTACTTCTGCACTCTCCCAAGATCTGTGTATGTCAGAGATGAGATGAGATGTAGATGAGATGCATTCTGTAGAGTAAGAAATTTGTAAGGAACTGCGCTTACGAAAAATGTCAAGCCATCAAGTTTATGGTACACAAGAAAACTGATGTTCCTGGTATTTACTTTGTAAAAGCGCCCACTTTGGAAATGAGGCCTGGCTGCAGCCTCCAGGTTTCTGACTTTGACCCATTTGGATAGAATCCTACATGCATACAGCAGTACCAAAGTACTGGTCCTTTGTGTGAAGAAAGAACCTGGCCCAATCAGAACCCTCCTCATGTTCTATTCATGTAATGATTCCTTTTGCCATCTACAGTGTGGTGCGGTGGTTTGAAAACGGGGCTTGCAAAATGTGGATTCAGCCACAGAGCTCACTGGGTCAGTCATTCATTCTCACCACAGGGTGGTTGCGAGAATAAAATGGAGACGGAGAAGACCATGTGAGCTGTTACGAGTTCTTCACAAGACAAAAAAGGGAAGATGAAACTTATCCATTCACTTCATTTCTACATGGCCCCATAGCTGAAGCTCTCTGGGCTGCAGATGAGGCTAAAATCTGTGCACACCCCTCCAAATGTTATTTCAATGTTTGTGAGGATGGGGTGCATGGACAACTCCTGTGTGATAAAAGTAGGCCTGGCAGATCAAATCATGCTATCAGCAGACACTGCTAAACTCTTGTGTATGATGAAAAAAAGTTTAAATACACAGCATTGCAATGACAGCGACAATGTTTATTTACAAAAGTAAATAAATCCCCTAAAAAATCCCCCCTAAAGTGATTTACATAAAAAGCAAACAGAGCATCATCCAAGAATAAAAATTAAATTCAAAACTTTAACCATCTTTAACCATCAAATGAAGCAGAGTAAAAATCTCCATCACGTCTTAAAATCCAGTAAAAGCCCAACAGACAGTTTTCAGCGCCTGGATAAAGCAAGTCAAGCGAGTGATGGGTCAGGCTGGTCTTCCCTCCCCTGTGAGAGGATCCCATCACAGGGATGCAGGCAATGCAAATTCCCTGTCCCACATTCCCACCAGCTGTGGTTTTGCTGGTGCTCCTGAGACCTATTAAGAATTCTCCCAAGCTATGGGCATTTCAGTAAGCATTAAAATAAGCTAGAAATGAGATCAACCGAGCAGGGAAGAAATATTTCCTGTGTGATGTTCCTGAACTGAACATCAGGTAGGAATCTGTAACCTGATCAAGTTAACCACAGAAGACAGACAGCTACAATGAAAGATTTCATAACAAATCTCCAGTGAATTTTTTCTAGCTACTTTGGCCAGGATCCAAAGGTGTCTTGTGCCAGTGGGAAAAAAGCGCTTGCTGATGCTTATGGAACACAGTCTTCCCCTGAACCCTTGAGTGTCCCATTCCATACTGTTTCAGAGTGTCCCTTAATTCTAAGGAAAATGCTTTGGAGAGTCCAAAGATAGGAAGGCAGAGAAAAGAAAGCCCATCTTGCATGAACCAAGTCTAATTGCATTTAGTTGCTATGCCTCAAGCATTCATCAAGATACCGTTTTCCAGAAATTATCTCCATAATTCAGGGTCCCCTCTGAAACAAAGCTTCCATTTCCTCACACAGAAGCTGTTAATAAGATTTTCTTTCCTGAGTGCCTGCCTGCTTCATAGTCTCAATTCTTCCACAGACTAGGCAATACAGCCTGTCCCTGGGATATGAAGCTGGGACCAGAAAGAAAATTAGCGGTTAAGGGCTGATTAGACAGGAAGAGGATTGGAACTGCAGACAGACCTGTCTCAGACTGCAGGGGGAAGGCAATGAGGTAGATATATTGTAAACATTCCCCAAATGCAGTGATCAAAAAAACATACTGGTTTAAGAGCAGTGTCAAGGCTGTTCATGTTGGCTGAAGCTCTTCAAAGCCAGGCAAGTGAAAGCTAAGGCAGACGTGTCCCATAATCACTGATGCTGTACAATATCACCAGTTGTGCTTGCTTAAAACCTGGACCGGGGCAACATGGGGCATCTTTCCAAGTCCCTGGCACTTGATCCTTCCCATATGGATTTGGGCCTGAACGACCAAGGAAAATGTGGATGCACAAAGCATAACTTGTAAGCAACTACAACTTGGCACACTGCACAAGGGAGAACCAGTGTGACCTACTGCACTGGACTGGGCTCTTGAGATCCCTACTTGGTGATGAAGCTCACTGGGTGATTTTGGGCCAGTCACTGATTCTTGGCCTAACCCACCTCACAGGGTTGTTGTGAGGATAAAATGGAGAGGAAAGGAAGGATTATGTAGGTCACCTTGGACTCCTTGAAGGAAAAAAGGCAAGATCGTCACTAACCATGGGCCATATCCATTGAAGCATCAGCTGAAGCTTCCAATTTCATAGACTGGGGTACAGATGGACTCATCAAGGAGCAAATACATTCTCTGATGGCCACAACCTTGCTGATTTTGAGAATAAGATCCCTTCACCCCTGCATATTGATTGATGCCAAGGCTTCCTTCACCTCCTGTGGCATGGAAAAGGGATCAGAGCATTCAGAGAGTTTCTCTGCCACATGTTTTTTCCAGTGCCTCTGAAGGCCTGACTTATGGGCAAAGTGCTTCCCACAATCCAAGCATTTAAAGTATTTCTCTCCCGTGTGGATTTTCTGGTGGATCGTGAGGGTTGATTTCCGTGGAAAACACTTCCCACACTCCATGCAGGTGTTGGGTTTCACACCCTTATGAACATTCTGATGTTTTCCAAAGGCAGAGGAATGAGCAAAGCATTTCCCACACTCCAAACAATTAAATGGCTTCTCCCCTGTGTGTAGTCTCTGATGGATCATGAGGCTGGATTTCCGAGAAAAACACTTCCCACACTCCAGGCAATCGAATGGCTTCTCTCCTGTGTGTACCCTCTGGTGGATTGTGAGGGTTGATTTCTGAGTAAAACACTTGCCACACTCCAAGCATGTATAGGGTTTCATTCCCGTGTGGATTCTCTGGTGGATCAAGAGATTGGATTTCCAAGCAAAACACTTGCCACACTCCAAACAGGTAAATGGTTTCTCTCCTGTGTGGACACTCTGGTGACTCAGGAGTTGTGACTTCAGAGGAAAACACTTCCCACACTCCAAGCATTTATACGGTCTCTCTCCTGTGTGCACCCTCTGGTGAATCACGAAATGCGATTTCTGAGCAAAGCATTTTGCACACTCTGAACACTGAAAGGGCTTCTTGCCTGTGTGGTCTCCCTGGTGCCTTGTAAGCTGAGATTTCTGGGCAAAGCCCTTCCCACACTCCAAGCACTTATATGGTCTCTCTCCTGTGTGGACTCTCTGATGGATTGAGACATTTGATTTTCGAGTAAAGCACTTCCCACACTCCAAGCACTTAAAAGATTTTTTGCCTGTGTGAATTCTTGGGTGGTTCAGGAGATATGATTGCAAGAGATATGACTGCTGATCCAAATCATTTCCGTGCTCCAAGCATTTATATGATTTCTCTCCTCTGTGGATGGTAGGATGCTGGGCAACCCTTGATTTCTCTGTATAATCTCCCCCACATGTGGTGCCTGTTTGATGCTTTCCAGACAGACCTAGTGAACAAGGAGAAACAAGGTTTCCTTGGAGGAAAGAAAGAGAGGCTGAAGCAGCAAATCAGGATAGCTGACTCTGGCACCTTGGAAACATCAAGGAAAGGCACAGTATTTCCATTTCTCTGTTCTCTTGCCATTACCCCAGAGGTAGTATGTTGAGGACCAGCTGTGGCTGTGCGGCATCCACACACACAGTCAGACCCATAATAAAGTCACAAACCTATGCATTTTTGGAAAAAGTAGTGCACCTCCCAAGCATGCTTCAGGTTGCCATTCAGAAAAAGGGATTTCAATGTAACAAGGGAAATACAGGTGGAGATAAAAATTAGGAGATTAGTAATATTGAATACCACAGCAAATGGAAGGAAACATATGTCTTAAAAAAGGAGAAACCTGGACAAAGGATAACAAATCAACAGAACAAAATCCCAAAGACAAGACGAGATTAGAATCGATGAAAGCAAACCTAAGAAACAGAAAGAGAAAGAAACAAAGTTTTTATGGTGTGCATTGAATGGTCTAGTATAGCTGGTTCCAGGGGCATATGAATCTCCACATGAAGGAGTGTCTTAGTTCAGCTCACTAATTTTGGTCAAAGGTTGCAATGCTGCACACTTTCTTCTTTCAGCCTGATGGGGACCATCTGGACACTTCTTTTTGTCTACAGTGAAGCAAAGGGGAAACACCTGCTCTCAAATGCCTTCCCAAGAACACCAGGAATGAAACAAAAGAGTAACAAAACATCTTAGCTTATGGTTCAGCTGGCTGGAGCTGTAGAATTTTTTGGGAGTCCCTGCTCAACTGGTTCACTAGAGACACCTACCTGGATGGGAGTTGGCGTTCTCCATCTTGTCCAGGTCCTGAGCATCTGCCACCCATGGCTCTTGCCCTCGTTCCAGCTTGGAGATGAGTTCAGGCTTGGTGACTGGAAAACCTTCACAGGAAAGAAGCGAACAGGAAAAGTAATCACTTTACGCTGCAGCTCTAAGAAACCCACAGAGAAGGACCTCCACACGTAGCTTCTGTAACCTCAGTTACCATCATGAGAAGCAAGGTTAGGAAGGCATTTTGGGATGCTGCAATAGATGCACACAACAATAAGACTGTTGTGGATATTGGGACAATTAAGACTTTCTAAAAACTAAAGCTCCATTTGGCGCACACAGTTTTACTTAGCAAATCGTATTGGATTCAGCGGAATGTTTGTAGTGAGAGATCAGCCTTTGACCGCAGAAAGCATCTATAGGAGAGGGATGTCACTTCTACCCTGCTCCCTGTGCCTTGCCCCTCTCAAGGCCTGGGATTTGCCTTCCTTCCTGGCCCACTCCCAGCAGCAGAACCAGAAGGGAGCAAAAGGCCTGGAGGAAACAGCTGCAGGGAGCTCTGGTGCAGGCGTGGAGCCAGAGGCCTCCCTCTCCTGCTCCTTCACTGGTACCTCACAGTTCGCATCGTTGCACATCGAAGTGGTCTTGGCCGGGTCTAGCTCCCCCGGACCTTGGGTCCCACAGCCTGCTATTGCACAAAGAAGTGCGGTCACTGAGCATGCAACCTGCCCTCATCCGAAGACATCAACTTGCTACCACACAAAGGCATCGCTTCAAAACTGCAGCTGCAGACAGGAGAACATGAAGACTCACAGCTCTGAGAGAATGAGGATTCACGTCCCTTACCCAGTGAGGCCAGGTTCCCATAATTCTCCAGCATGACATCCCGGTACAAGGCCCGTTGATCCGGATCCAGCAGAGCCCCCTGCCCCTCTGTGAAATACACGGACACGTCTTCAAAGGTCACCCAGCACTACAGGAAAAGAGACACCCAAAGCAAGTCACCGTCCAGCTGTAGGCCCCAGGAACCTTGGTGTGCCAGGAAAGAAACAAACAGCAGCAGCAGCAAAAGACTAGCCCACACATTGAGCAGGTACCAAATTACATTCCTGCTGAAAAGTGCCCCTTCAGGCTGCAGGTGGGGTAGATGGACAGGAGAAAATGCAAGCACAAGGAGCAATCTTCTCCTCCTCCCTATCCAGGTATCCCCAAAGAGCCTTGAATGTCTGGCACGATTCTAGCCCAACTGTTTCTTATGGGCCACACTAACAGGGTCTTGAAACTGCTTCCTTATCCTCATGTCTGCACATGCAGAGCCAGTGTGGATTGAGGATATAGTGCTCCAGGAAGGGGGTGTGTCAGCAGGCCCTGTTTCATCACACTATTCCACCTCCCTAAATGGGAAGTGCCAGTAACAGAAGAAAACAGTTTAGCCAGCGCTAATGTCTAACAATTGCAATGAGACAAGACAGCCAGGTGGAACCCTTGAATACTGGAGAAACAAGCAGCAAGGAGGGGCAGGGGCTCCTTGTGGCTTTACCGGATGAGACAACCCTCTTCTTCTGAACCAGAAGAGGCCACTGCAGATCCACAAGCTGGAAGAACGGCAGTGATGCGTCCTGTCTCCTGCTGGCACCCCACCCCCATTTTGCTCCTGCAGGCCCTCTCCCCACCTCCCCCACCCCCCTCAGGTTCCAGAGGGGTCCTTACCAGGCCCGGCTCCACCACAGTCACTTGCCGTGTTCTGGAGTGTGGCAGCAGACTCCGCAGAGACCCGGACGCCATTCTTCACTTTCTGGGGGGGGGTAGAATGGGGGGGCACACTCAGAAAAGCAATCTGGGTTTCCATTGGGTCCTGCCTCCATACCCAGGGAAGCTGCAGCCCATGTGCCCATGTTCCCCAGCACATCTCAGGCTGCCAGAAAGTGTCTCAGTGAGTTTGCTCCAATGAACCTGTCTTCACCATGGAAGAGCCCCTGCCCAGCTTGGCCAGAGCGCCTCAGGGGCACTGGCTGTGGCTCTCCAGAGACTTTCCAGGAGAATGCTGCAGATGGGGCTGCAGCGGGCTGAACATGGCAAAGGCAAAGCATGCTGGGAGATGGACCAGAAATAGGGACGGAGAAGCAGAGAACCGAAGAAGGGGCAGGTGAAAGATGGGTGGAGGGGCTTGTCTCACGGAAACCTCTATGGCTAAAGAGCAGCTGTGAACCTCAGGGAGCCTCGTTCACAGGGACCATTTCTTCCAGAGCTTCAGAAGAAGCGGTGAAGCTCACAGCAGGAAAAACTTCTCTTCCGGCCTACCACCTTGGGGTTCTATCTCTTTCTTCCTCATTACTGGGGAACGGAGTCACTTGGGGCAAAACGTTGGCAGGCGTGGAGTGCTTTCCCGCCCCCCGCCCCCCGCCCCATTTGCTAGCGTCGTCAGAACTTAGGGGTCAGAAAGGGTTGGCGAGCACCCCAAAAGGAACCGGAGTAGCAGCGTCACCCGGAAAGCTGACGCCTCTCTTCCCGTCTCCCACTGCGATCTGAGAGGGGAGGCTGCGGGAGGAGAAGGAAAAGGCCGGGGGCTGATCTGGGGAGGGGGAATCTTGCCTTTAGGCAGGAGGCTGCCCCGCCCCGAACTTCCATCACCCCAAAGGTCTTCCCAGAAGGCCCCGGAATGGGACAGGCATCCATTCATCTCACTCTATACAAATACTCCCGCATCCCAAACGGGGAGATCCCCACCCAATTCCACGGCCCGATTTCTTCCCCGACACGTCGCCTTCTCTCTCTGCGACTTTCAAAGATCGCATCGTTTCAAGCGATCATCTGCTTGTTGTCACTTCCCCGCCAACGCCGTCGCAGCGCCCCACCCCAAAAGGCAAGCAAAGAGCCGACAAGAAGCAACGTGCACTCGCCCAGCCTCGCACCTTAAAGTTAAGGGAGACACAAAGCATTTGTTGCTTGAATGCAATCCGACATCCACTCAATCCCTTCTCCAGAGGATTAGAAGCAGCACGCACCCCCTCCTCACCAGCCGGAGCTCTGTGAAGGAGGTGCACAAACGCGCACGATGGACACCTCCCTTTTCTAGCTACTCATTCACACACTCTTCCGCCACGGGGCTGTTGGAAGCAGCGAGTCAGTCACGTGACCTCTCCTGCTCAAAGTGAGAACCATCCTCCTGCTAAGTCTCCCCTAGACACGTCCAATCAATAAACGCGGCGCCCCCCTTTCAGCCAATCGGACAGGCGTAGAACCCATACAAAGGGAAATCCTTACACGGAGCCCGCCCTCATTTTAGACAGAAAACTAGTCTTGCGACTCCTTTGCTTGTGGGGATTGCTGGGAGTTGTAGGCCTTTTCCTTCTAGCTAGGCTATTCCTCGGGTACAAAAGTGAAGAACTGCCCAAAGTGTCACCTTAGCTGGGACTGGACAACGGAACACACTTCCTCCCTGAACTCAGAGGCGGTGCTAGGTGGTGGGCGTGTAGGACTCAACATTGCAGAAATTTGCATGTGCTAATTTAAGCAAAAATATGTGCATAATTAAAATAAGTAGTATAATATCCTAATAAAAAAGGAAGATGAGAAGGAAGGACTCCCTGGAGAAGAGCCTAATGCTGGGAACAACAGATGGCAATAGAAGAAGGGGACGGCAGAGGAGGAGGTGGCTGGATGGAGTCACTGAAGCAGTCGGTGTGAGCTTAGGTGGACTCTGGGGGATGGGGGAGGACAGGAAGGCCTGGAGGAGTGTTGTCCATGAGGTAGCAATGGGTCCATACAACTTTGCTAAACAACAACAACAACAAGTATAGTATCGATTTTACAGAAAGCAAGCTAATAAACTTTTTGTTTTACTTCAGGATACAACTATACTTTCCTTGGTCCTTCGAACCCAAGATATAGAGAGGGAGGATGACTTGCCTGGGAGCAGCAAACACACCAAGCTTTTACCAGTTAATTGCAAACTGGGTATGGCAGACATGGTTTCAGATATGGGAACTATCTTCACGGTGAATAAGGCTTTTTGCCAGTATGAACGCATTTATGAGTATCAGGACAAAATGAGCAAAGCTTTACCATACTATGGTTGCTAAAAAACTGACACACTAAGAATAACTTGAGAGTTATGGGGGGGTTCCTGATTCTGATCAGGAAACTATGCTGCAAGTCTTTCCCCCCACATAAGCCTTAGAAATGCTAAAGTTAGGGATGAAATTAAATCCCAAGCAGTGACGATACGGGAGGCAAAGTAACAAGCAGTAATAGTTTAATATGTTCTTGTAAGAGCTGGCGCCCACCACACAGGTAGCGCGCTGTTTCCACAAAAGACATTGCCTTTTATTCCCTTTTCCCGGCTCGCAGACCCTGCCTCTTTTCTCCCACTGGCTGGGTTACTAAGAGGTCACAATCTTCTCCGTCCGCCTCCATCATACTACTCCTTGATATGTTCCCCCTTCCACTCATACATCCCATTACCTATGAGAGGTGTGTCAGTTATTATTCACAAACCTATTAAGCGTGCGCACTACTTTGAGAGTTCATTAAGTCGTCTTGGCCTTGTAGCCGTCTCACTCGATGACCACTTATTTCCCAAAACTTGTAGGAGGATGAGATAGGAGAACAGCCCTTCCTCCGAGCTCATTACGGCCAGTTGTAAGAGGCAATCAATCACCTACTCCCTTCGGCAAAAGGTGACAGTTTTATCACTGCCCCCAACCTCACCCCCCTTGTGTTTTTCAGGACTTTGATGTCAGAAGCACTCTTCTACTATTGTCTTTGTTTCCAACTCAGCCATACTATTAACTTACATTTGTTTGTTTACATCAGTAACCAATTTAAACCTATTTTCTTCTATTTCCTTTTTACAACTCTTTACATGGTTCTGTACTCAGGCCCTTGGCCTTATAAGGGTTTTTTGCTCTGGTCTTTAGCAATCCAACATTCTTCTACTTAGTAACAGTAATTTTCCTTCTCACAGTCATGGCTGCCTCTCCATTCAACACTATTGCTTTACTCTCATGTGCCTCTAACAAAATGTCCACCACATCCCCCATCCTTCCCAAACTCTGTATATAACTGATTATAAAAACATCCTGTACAGCAGCCTTCCCCAATCAATGGCCCTGCTGGATGGGAATTCTGGGAGCCGTGGTCCAAAAGTCTGAAGGCCACCAGCTTGGGGAATGCTGCTGTACAGACGCATATGCCTGAATAACTGTGAATGTTCTTTGATTGTACACCCCAGGGAATTCTCTGAGTTCTCTTGTCACCATATTTATGGAAAAAATTCCAGGAAATTCCTGACTTGCCTTGCTTATAACTTTCATTTTCACAAGCTGTAGGATGAACCCAGGCCGTCAGCCATGCCTTGATTCTGATCGACGGAGAAGTATTAGTTGATGAGTTGCATGTTGTGGGCGAGTGATCGTGTAATACTGAAAGCTGAAGCGAGGTGGAGTCAAACCTCCTGCCCCTCAGAGCAAAGTTTTGCAGGGTCTCATTTACAGGAAGTAAAAACCCACTGCTTGGAAACAAGGAAAGTGAAGCCGCTGGGTGTAGAGGCCATGGCTGTTGCTGCTGGGAGCACCATCCAGGATCTCTGCAAGGAATCCACTTGCTCCATTTGCCTGGACTTTTTCAAGGATCCTTTGATGATTACAGAGTGTGGGCACAATTTCTGTCGGGCCTGCCTGAGCCAGTGCAGTGGGGAATCGGACACGGAGGCCTCCTGCCCCCAGTGCAGGAGGACCTTCCAGAAGAGGAACCTCCGGCCCAATCGGCAGCTGGCCAATATTGTGGAAATCGCCAGAGTATTATCAGGCCAGTGGGGCAGAGGGGCCGAAGGGAAGGGAAGGGCCTGCGAGAAGCACCAGGAGCCCCTCAAACTCTTCTGCAGGGACCACGAAGCCCCCATCTGCCTGGTGTGCAACAGAGCCAAGGAGCACAAAGGTCACCACATGGTTCCCCTGGAGGAGGCATCCCAGGAGTACCAGGTAGGTGATCTGGGTACTTCTTGATGGGAGTTAAAATACCTGTGGGTATTTTTGGTCTTTGTGAAGACACTCCATTAGGAAGGGATTTGGGGTTACATGATCTACTGATTTATTTTATTTCTGTACTGCCCAGTAACCACAGGTCTCTGGGAGGGACTGGGCATGAATGCAGTCAACATGCATGTTCTTTGTTATGCAAGTTGCACTCCGAGGAAGCCTTTAGAAGCCCGGGATGGGGGTGGGATAGTTTAATTCGTTCTCTTCTAGCTGCACCCTGTACCAAGTCTGGGTTATGCAGAGCTGAACAAAGGCACTTGAAATGTTCCAGGGACCGTAGGAGAGCTCTCCTATGAGGGAAGGTCTCACAGTTTCTGCCTGCTTTGATGAGGGAGAAAAAGAAAGAGGCGGGCACGAAATGATATGACATGATGGAGGTGTATGTAGCGATGCAGAGTGGGAAATCTTGTTCAACTTTTTCTGTTCTAAGCTGAAAGTGAACCGTTGTTCTCTCTTCAGGATCTGCTCCATCATCGTCTGGAGAGTCTGAGGGAAGAGAGAGAAAGGATTCTGGCATATAAAGCAGAGGCAGAGAGGGAGAAGCAAGAGATACTTGTAAGTATCAATAATATGACTTGCCTCAACCAAATGCTAAGGAAAGGACATTCTGAGTGTGGGTTCTTGACCATCTTTAGACAGAAGAGTGGCCCTGTTTTGGCACTGGCTGACCTTTCTCCCATTTGCATCCACTTCCTTCAGGCCCAAATTAAAACAGAGAGGAAAGAGACAGTGGCTCAGTTCTGGCAAATGCATCAGTTCCTCAGAGAAAAAGAGAGGCATTTCCTGGCCCAGCTGGACAAGCTAGAGAAGGAGATTTCCAGGAAAGGGGGCAAACACCTGGCCAGACTCTCCAGGGAACTCTCCTCCCTTGAAGGCATCATCCAGGGGATGGAGAAGAGTTGGCAGCTGGCCAGTGAACTCCTGCAGGTAGGAGGGGTGCCCACATTCCCCAAGGAGAAAACTTAGCCAGACACTGGATATCTCTGCATGCATGGAGGGAAGGACCCAAGGCAGGCACCACAGACACCTTAAACGGGGGCAACCCAGAGATGAGAGCTTGAAGAAAATTCTTGCCAAAACAGGGGAGGAAACTGACTGACAAGTAGTCAGTACTTGGAGGTTTCTTTGCAGTGGTGAAATCTCTGTCCATTCACCACTCTGGTAATGAATCTCATCCCAATGTCTCTCAATTGGAAATTGTTTGTGTCCGGCATATGAGTGTTCCAGAAGGGTCTGATTGCCCCACTGTGAAACAGGATCCTGGACTGGATTTCAGGCTATGGCAGGGCTGGAAGCATTGCCATTGTTACTTTCCCTTCCTTTCTCATCCTGGGAAGAGAGCATCAAAGAGAGGTTGAAATTGATTATGCAGATAGAAAATGTGTTGATGGAAAGAAAGCAAAATGAGGCCTCTCTAGCCATCAGCACATCAAGAGACACCCAGAGAGACTTCCCTGAACCTGCACCTCAGGTCCTTGCTCTGGCAGAAAGCCAGAGAGGGAACTGAAGCCACCTTTAATTCACCCTGTACATTCTCCTCCGTCCTTGAGTGGAGACGCTGAGCAGGACGGGGCCAGGGTGCATCTCCAGAGAGTGGATGCGACCCCCACTGAGCACCCGTTTCTTTCTCTTCTTCCTCTAGGATGTGAGAATCATCTTGCAGAGGTGAGTGGATCCCACTTATTTCCACTGGGTCTGGAAGGCATGGGGAGAACCTCCTGGGCAGAGAACGTAGATTACCCACATCTCTCTAGATAAAAACAGGGACTGCTTGTCGAGTTTGGACCAGTCCCTTGCTCCCTGCTCTCCATCACACACGGTGAAAGGCTCTTCTCTGCCAGCAAAGCACACATCCCACAGCTAAGCACATATTGGCAGGCTCCACATGCCAAATATCACCCCCAAAGGGGCAAACTTCCCACACCCCACAAAGCACATGCAGAGCTGACCCTAAACATACCTGAACACAAGCAAAATGCCCTGACTGCCCCAATCACCCAATCCACACCCACTTGTGTGGCTACTGAAGATTTCTCTGATTTCTTGAGGCAAGTGTGGCCTCAACCCCCCCCCCCCGGCCACCCAAAGAAGGCCCACCCTTTGTTTTGAGCTAGTTCTCCTTTGCTCCTGGGGGAATCTGGGGTTGGATGAGTGGTGTTTACCTTGGTTTTCTCCAGCAGGAGTGAGAAGGTGCCCTTTGAGAACCCAGGTGCTTTCACAGAGGAGCTGAAGTCAAGGATCAGGGACTTCCATGACAGGAATTCTTTTCTGAAAGACCTCAAGTGGCAATGGGGAGGTATTATGACAAGATATTCTCTCCTCTCCTCTCCTCTCCTCTCCTCTCCTCTCCTCTCCTGGCATGTGAAAATGAATTAAAGTGTCATTAGTGCTATAATCATATTGTTCCTGTCTCTCTACCTGCCAGAACTGTAGGAAGAAACTGGCAATTTACTTTTCCCTCAGCCATCCAGTTGGGAAAAAGGATCCAGGCAAGAAGATTCCAGAACTGGCCAAGTTGGGGCATTTAATCCAAGTGGGAAAGACTAAAATTTAGTACTAGTCAACAGAAGTTCAAGCAGATATTTTTCCTGGCAAGGTTTAGTGTTAGTTCGATGGCGAACTGCTTAATCTTTTGTCTTGTTCCTCCCCAGGTGGCCACCTCCCTGAACTGCTGCTAAAGAAAGGTAAATCTCCAGAGAGGGCCATATTCACAGGAGGGATGTGGCCTGGCCAGGGCGACCTCCACAGTGAGCCAGGAAGCCCCTCCTGGTCAGTCCCCATAGGAGAAGGATGAGTTCTCCCCTCTCCCGCCCCTTTTGTACCCCCTTTCTCCAAGAGAAGCAGGGCCTTTCAGGTGAGGGCCCCTAGCCATGCCAGTGAGGAGTCCTGAGGCAAGTCCACTGGTTTTCCCTGATCAGGTTTTTAATCCTAAAATAAAGGGACTGAAGGAATCTGGAGGAAACAGAGGGGTGCTATGCATGAAAGATGGTGTGTGGAAGATGGGGGTGTGGGTTGTTGCCAGGGAGATGGGAGTGAATGGAGGGGAGGGAGAGTTTGGCTCTTCCAGATGCAAAGAGAGGGGAAGTAAGAAGAGGTTTGGGGAGATGGGTTTGGGGAAGTGTAGCAAAAATACAAATATTAGAAAGGTGGTGGATTCTGCTTTTAGGGTTTGAGTTATTTAAGTTGCTGTTTTTATACTGCACCGTTTTCATTTTACTTGATTTTTGAGGGAATCAGTGATTCCTATGGCATGTTCATACTTAAGATTTGGATCATCCTTGCTAATCTTCTGTTCCTTCTTCTCTCTCTATCCCCAGCAGCAAATGTGATTCTGGATCCAGACACAGCGAATCCCTCGCTCATCTTGTCTGAGAATCGTAAAAGTGTGAGGACGGGAGGCAACATTCAAAATGTGCCTGACAATCCGGAGAGATTCAGTTTCCATCCTATTGTGCTTGGATGTGAGGGCTTCTCATCAAGAAGCCATTCCTGGAAAGTCAGTGTGGGAAGAAGGGGAAGGTGGGGTGTGGGCGTTGCCAGACAGTCTGTGAAAAGAAAGTGTGCGGTTCATTTTGCTCCTGAGGGCGGGTTCTGGGTTTTGAGGTATTCCCAAGGTAAATACAAGGCTTGTGATTGTGCTTATTATGATCTGTTCCTGAGTGGGGAGCTGAAGAAGATCTGGGTGTCCCTGAACTTTGATGAGGAGCATGTGGCCTTTTATGATGCTGACCAAAGGACCCTCCTCTGTGTCTTCTCTGGGGTCTCATCTGTTAGAGAGACCCTTTCCCCCTTCTTTTATGTTGATAATGATGCCGTCCTCACAATCGGATCCTAAAACCACCAGGAGCCTTCTCCATGGGCCACTCCAGACCACAAAGATTTCTCTTAAAATGGAAACCTTTCCTGGTCAAGGGCCAGTTTTCCCCTCCTGCAGAGCTCCCCAGAAAGGCTTCCAGTCACGGTCACCAGAATAAAACAAACCATAAGGGTGACTGGGTTCTCCCCACTGACCCAAATTTTCCTCTTTGGCCTGCACTCCAAGCAGACAGAAGCCCAATATCATAACCCACAGAGACTGACTCTCAGAGATAGCACCAGTTCGGTTATTTCCATTTTCCTTCTTTCCACAAGAACTCCAGTACATGCAAAAAGGAAAAACCAAGCCAAAACCAACCATTGTCTCTGACATGTCTGCATTCACACATACGTGCCTTCCACGCTTGCTCTTTAAGGAGCTCCATTTTGCATTCTAGCAACAAAACAGGTATGAGAAAGTTGAGGAAAAGAAGGGTGCCCCTTGGCTGACCACCTTTAAAATTGATGCATGAGATGCTGCTGGGAACGGGGTAAGTGATGAGGCAGTGGGATTGGCTGGGTCCTGCATGGGAGGTGAGGGTGGCTGCCCTGGTGTCCATGGGGGCATCTGTGGGCTTTTCCTTGCACTGGCTTGGAGAATGATGGAATGTCCAAACCTGCACTTTGTTGCCAGGATGCAGTCAGGAAATGGAAGAGCAACTGCATTGCAGTTCAACCTTAAAGAGCAAAACAGAGACTGGATAAGGCAGATAGAACGCCGTGTCTCTTATTTTATATTAGCATATATTAGCCCCCACCAGAAGCCAGAGGGGAGGGGCCTGTCGGAACACTTCCTTGTGTTCCAGCCCCCATGCAGGTCCATCCCTGCCTGCAGCAAGTCTCACCCTCACACGAGGAAGTGATGGGAAAGCATCGGGAGCGGGCACTGAGTGGAAATCTCCCTTCCTCCCAGGCTCAGCACAGCCTCACACGCCTTCCCCACAGTGCAGGCGTCACAGACTTCATTGCTGGCCTCCTGGGATGATTCTTGTTCTGAGGACCCCTGCCCTAGGCAAATGGAGCAGTTAGAGATAACTGCTCCATTTGCCTAGGGCAAGGGTCCTCAGACTTTTTCAACAGGGGGCCAGTTGAAAGGTGTGGGGATGTGCGGTGAGGCAGCGGCTTGCTCGCTCAGAGATCTTTTTCTCCAAGCGAGTCCAAACAATCTCTGTGCGAGCGAGGCGAGCGGTGGCGGGCATGGGAGCGGCGAGTCCAAAACCTCTGAGGTGGGCCAGATCCAGCCCACGGGCCATAGTTTGAGGACCCCTGGTCTAAGGGAAACTGTACCCATGTTCCTGTATCAGAGAAACACTGGGCAGCCCCTTCACATGCATGGCTCAAGCTCTCTCATTCCTGGGGACTTGCTCCAGGCACCTCTGCTGGGGAGAAAAGACCCCTAGCCTTGTTTTCCAGTGGAGTGCATCTCCTTTGGTTCACCCCCCGCCCCGCACCTTGCCTGGGCGGAAGTGTGTGAGAGTCTCTTGGCTTGGTCTGTTGACTGTCAAGCAAGGGCTCCTCCCCGCTCTGAAATGGACCCTTCCTTTCCAGGCACCTGCTCAAGTAAATGGATGAGCCAAGTGGCCATGCCTGGCCAATGATGCCGCCAGGCAGATCCATCTGTGCTGGCATGCCAGAGGCAGCAGCCTGACTGGGTACCTAAGCAGGGAGCTGCCCATGAGGCATCACGGGAGGTTTCCGTCTCGTGGGCCCTCACAGGACGGACAGCATAGTCTGACTGGCTTGGCCACCCTGGCATGCCCATCATAACTGGCAGGATCCCTGTCTTGAATGTTGAGAGTTCCAGTTCCTGGTTCTCGCCCTACCCATCACTCATTCCAGATCAGGATCCAGGATTTCTATTCCTGCCCCTCTGTGGGTGTTGTGTCCATGGTGAAGTGGAAGCCCAGCCCAGGGTGTTGGGGAAGTTGTCCTTGGTGCACACTCCTAGATTCGCATTCATCAGATGAGGAACTGAAGGGACGCTGGGAACTGGCAGCCCCAGTCATTGAGGTGGGAGGAGTGGAGGGGTGTATCTCCAGGCCAATCTCCAGGCCATTCTCGCCTCGTGTTCAAGCAGATTCTGAGAATAGCCAAGATCTTCAACTGCTGGGAGAAGGTGTGGGACAGGAGCTCCAGGAGGCAGCTGAGCCTCTTATTTATTTATTTATTTAAACATTTCTATGCCGCCCCTTGCCAAAGCCTCAGGGAGGCTCACAGCATAGAATAAAATACAAAAAATACAAAAATAACAATATAAAACCAACAATATAAAATAAATAACAATATTTATAACAAATATGACCCTGGACCCCATGGCATGGCTTTGGGGGAGAAGGGTTCGCCAACTAGAGGGGTGGCATATGGAGAAAAGGCTTTCCTGCCTCTCGACCACACTATGGTAACTCCCCGACCTGATTATTGTAGCGTGCTCTATGTGGGGCTGCCCTTGAAGGTGGTCCGAATACTTCAATTGGTCCAGAACAGAGCTGCCAGGATACTAACGGGGACTGGCAGGTATTCACATATGATGCTGGTCCTCTATTGCTTACACTGGGTACCAAGTGAAGTCTAGGCTCAATTTAAGGTGCTGGTGATGACCTGTGAAGCCCTAGACAGGTTGGCTCCTGGATACCTGAAGGAGCACCTTCTTCTCTATATGCCGTCCTGCCCCTTGAGATCTGAGGCAGAGGACCTGCTCCAGGAGCCCTCCTTGAAAGAGATTAGGAGGGTGGCTACCGGAGGAGGGCCTTCTCTGTGGTGGCACCCTGAAGGGACACGCTTCCCAGAGAGGTCCGCCTGGTGCCAATGCTTCTTTCCTTTCAGCACCAGGCAAAACCCTTTTTATTCTCCCATTATTTTAATTGTTGATTTGTTTTAATCCGTGGTTTTATACCTAATGCTGGATGCTGTGCTACTCTTACTTCTGTCTTTATTCTATTTTAATATCTTGAGATATCTGTGATGGGATGGGATACAAAAGCTTCAAACAAACAAACAAATGGGCCTCCCAGGGATGCTAAAAAAATGGTCTTGGGAGTAGTTGCTAGATTGGCTTCAATGTGCCACTCTGTGCATGCTCAGAGACTCATTCTGTGGTGAATGAGCTTCCTAGATGTACTTTAGAAAAGAGAGAGGGTTTGCAAAGTGACAGTCTATCGTCCTGAATGTGCCAAGGGGGAAAACTGAGCTCCCGACCCTGGGGGTGCTTTGTGCATGTAGATGGCGGCTTTCTGCCAGGGGCTGATGTTGTTCGACGTTGATTCAAAACTTCAGGGAAGATGCCGGGAAAGGGACTTGCACCTCCCAAGTCTCACCACCTAATGCAACACAAAGTCCATGGCAAACGGAGTGCCCATGGGGGGGCGGGGGAAGCAGCATTCGTAAGGGATCAGAAAATTATTTCCATTTGGTGGGGTGATGCACAGTGCTGGATTTGGAGAGAGTTTCTTAAGCACTACCTTTAATCAGTGGGGAGAATCAAATGGGACTTGGCAGCTGTGCCGGTTCTCTTCCTCCCTACCAATTGTGTTGTCCAAGGAAACCCACCATTTGTTCAGTGGCAAGTCAGCACTTTTAGGGCAACCCCCAAAAACTCGGAACACTACCTGTGCCAGCAGGCAGATCAGCAGAGCTCACACAGATGAGTGCTCCTAATTATTTTGGGAGGAAGAGGGTGACTCCCTTGCACAAGTGGTGGGTCCCGCTTACCAACTGCACTCACAGAACCCACTGCCTGCAGAAGGGCACTGGAAGGCAGAAAAGACCTGGCAAGCCGAGCAGCTCCCAGTGGCTTCTGCCCAGGGAATTCCTGCTTTTTACCGCTCTAGCATTTGACGATACAAGGACCACAGAGCTTCAGTTCTGAATGCTCCTGTCTTGCCACCAGCACTATGTCAAGAGGCCATGGAATTGCACCTTCAGTGGCCGAGGAATTGTCCTTCGAGCCGGGCAGAAGCGCCGACACGGCCGTGGTGCAGGCAAGGGGCCCCATGGCCAGGAGAGATGCAGCCAGCCCAAGCCTGGCCAGAGCCAAGAGACGGTTTTGTGTTTTCAATGAGTTTTGCAACTGCACAGCACCAGACATTCGGCACGCTTCCAGATCCACTGCCATCCACCTAGAGATCCCAATTTACCTTCTGCCTATCCTTGTTCTACTTCCCCGATTCACATGCTGATCTCAGTTTCTATTACAGAAGCATTTCGAACATGGGAAAACATGCTAAAACAGCCTTAAGTCTAGCATCAACCCCATCGCATTTCAAAAAGTACGGGCTGGATTGTTATTTTAAAAGTATTCCTATGGAAACCATCTTTGCAAGCTCCTCTAACAATCATGAATACATATAAAGACCCATCACTGTAGCCAAGTAGGCAGCTGCTCCCCAGCCTATCCCAGTGGTTCCATCTTTATACTTTGGACTCCCATGTGATTCATTAAAGGTTTCACCTGGAGAAAACCCTTCATTCCTCTCTTTCATCTCATTCATAGGGACTTTATTGACACAAGCACTATTTGGCCCAGGTTTATTTTTAACTGCAGTTCAGATTTGCTATTTGCTTTCATCATTGCTATTGGAATGGGATTATTTTAGGGAGGGTCCCCATAAAGAGGTCCTATAAGGCAGGGGCTGTCAACCTGGTGTCCTCCAGACATTTCTCTCTGTGCTTCCAGCAAGCACCAACAAGCAGGGCCAATAGTTAGGGGTGATCAGACTTGGAGTTCAAAAAGGTCTGGACGATGGCAGGTTGCCTATGTCTGATATCTCCATGTTTGGACCGCACAGGAGGAAACCTCCCCCTCCAGAGCTAACTGCAGTGGCTTGGACTTTGTACTTCATAAATAACAAGTGCCTTACGTAGCACTTTGACTCCGGAGCAGCTGAAGGCAAGACCAGCGGCCACACAAGCCTTGGGGTGCCACCTGCCAAGGGTCCTCGCTCCTCTTCATCGTTACCCTGCACCTGTCCATCCATGAGTTCAGCTTGACCAAACTAACAGGTAACTGTTGGGTTGAGCAGAGCAGTCTTTAGCTCGGGACCACAATGGCTGTATGGAGGGAGGGTGGTCCGGGAGTTATGGGGAAGGGGCTTGCTTATGTAGAAAGCCCTAAATCAGGGGCAGGCAGAAAGTAATTCTCCAGAGGTTTTGGACTTCAGCTCCCAGAAACCGCTGCAAGCGTGGCCAGTGGTGTTAGGAATGCTTCGAAACATGTGGAGGTACACTTGTTGCTCACCCCAACCTAACTCCTTGTTGCCCCGGCTGGGGGCAGAAGGGTTTTTAATGATTTCCAGAAGGTGACATGGCAACTCCAGTTTTACTAAGAAGGAGATTATTTATGATTGCGATCATGGTAAAGAAGCTAGAAAGACTTCTGTAACATTTAGCAGCAAGCCAGTTACACTGCACAGTGAGGCAGGATGCCAACCAGCTGGGTTCAGGAAAATCAGCAGAATCCCCCTTGAAAAGGGGGAACAAATTCAGAGAACAAAGAAAGTGGCTAGCTTCTAATTTATGACATTGTAATACATGGGTGCAGCATTCTACCTAATTAACATATATGGTTACAAGAGTCATATCATTTACACAGCTGCTAAGAGATACTGAGGTATAGTGAGCTTAAGGCGTATTCTCTTAAGCCATCAGCCGGATGGCCTGATGTTGCATCATAGCTCATTGCTACCCCTTGCTTACAAAAGGAAGGATGCCTGATAAGGCGTGTTCAAGGCAGTGTGTATGCCATCTCGACACCGGGAAAGGAAATTCCCTAGTTTTGTGAAAGCAGGTTGCCATGGTCAGAGCAATGCTAACTACAGCTGTGTTGTGCTATTTCAAGCAACTGGACTTTAATGTCAAGCAAAGCAAGCAATTTAAAGAGCTAGAGAGCCAGGTCTGGCTTTTTGGGGTTCAGGCCTGTTACACCCCTGTGCCATGCACATCGGGCGTATGTCCCATGGCATCCAGTGGACTGGTCATTCCTGGGAGCTCCCAGCCTCCTTATCTGGCACTGAGGGACTCCATCCATTCTCTCTCTGTGTAGCGCGCTCTCTCTCTCTCTCTCTCTCTCTCTCTCTCTCTCTCTCTCTCTCTCTCTCTCTCTCTGTAGTTATCGCAGAAGACTGAGAGTCTTGTTCAAATGAATGCTTCTCTAGTTCTTAATTCTTCCTTTGTGTAATTGCTCACACTTACGCTGTATTTTATTCGCCATGCAAATTAGAGGACTTAGAGCCCAGTTTGGCATTTTCAGGCATGGGTGCCCCCTTTACTGCCAGAGCACACCATGACTCCAGGTTAAAGTTGCTTGACACATTTCAAACACTGACTTTTGTTTTTCCTTCAACTGTTCAGGAGTGAGAAAAGATGGAGGGGATGGGGGAAGCATCCATTAGACCCCTTGTTTTGCATGTGTTGTATTCCAGATTGTGAACAGGGCAGAACAAGACTAGCAAAAGTTACTCTGGTCCTCAGACTAGTTGATTCCTCTTTCATTAAAGGCACTGTTCAGAGAAGGAGAAGTGGCTTTCCCTGGAAGGGCATCCCACTTACGTCCTTCTTATCCCAGAGACTCCCCTGGTGGCCTAATGCCTTTCCAGGGACAGGTGAAGATCTTTTTATTTTCCTGGGATGTTATTGCTATCTTGACAAGCTCACCCCTGATCTTTTTTGCTGCTTTTATGCTACCCTTTAAGCTGTTGATTTAGGAATTTTTATTGCATTTTTATGACTCAGTGCTTTCACTATAATATAGTAAATATATAATAAGATATCATGTGGTAACACATAGAAACAGACTAGAGGAATCCAATCAAAACCATTCTAACATAGCAGTGTGAATGCAGTCGCTGTAGCCAGACCATTGGTGCCCATAGGCAGGTGGCTGCTCTAGGGGACTCTGGTTTTCAGCCTGATGGGAGTTTTATGAGGTTCTGGTAGGATCTCGCTGGGGCCTCCTTTATGTGGGTCCTGCTGAAGAATATATCTTGTGTGCCTTAGGAACAGTGGAATGTGATAGAGCTGCAGTCGTGCAATGGGACTCCCCCACATGGACTGCCCATGCTCAGAGTCACAGCCACTTCACCCCCCCCCCCCGCCCTGCCCCAGCCCCAGAGGCATTTTCCATCCGGACACTCATTCCCCCAATGCTGCAGTTTGCTGGGTGATGGGCTGCCATTGGCCAGCAGCAGCTTCATCTGAACCCTGGATTTCTTCACTGAGGCCAATGAGCAGCTCTGCTCACTGTCAGCCAGGCAATGGCACCTCTGGAGAAGGAGATGCTGACAGAATCTCCATTTTCGATTTGTGAGGAGGAAATAAAAACTCGGGTCCGTAGGAATGATCAAACATTTGAACCTCTGCTGCTTTACTGACCGGTGCCCCAGTCCCTGCAGTCACTAACAATAATGGTGGGCATCTCGTGAGCAGAGCCGGCTGGAGCTGGGTGTCAGACTAGATAGCCCTGGAGACCCCTTCTGACTCGCTCTGTTTCTATGTTTCTATAATGCATTACCAGGCAGAGGTAAACTCAACTGCGAGTTTTCAAGACATGTACAGAGCATTTTATAATCTCCTAGTCACGTACACAGGTACAGAGCAATTAATGACAGAATACAGACATTGCAATGGAAAGCTGAGGTCATCATATACAGAACAAAAAGGAAAATCAGCTGAAGATACAAGTGACAATAAGATGACAATATTTCCAATTGCAGTGTATTGACATTTTGGTGGAATAAATTCCAAAAGCTTAAACCATCTCTAGGTCTGTTTAGACATGTAAATGTGTCTGATGGATGAAGCATTTAGGAAGTCTGGTTTGAGAATTACACTCAGGCTTGCCTCTGTGGGACTTAGGTGGGCCCATTCAGAAGCAACTGGGCACCATTGTTTCAGCTCTGCACAGGTACTGGCCTCTAGCAGTTTCCCAGTCTAGCTAAGAATGCCATCTTCTTAAGGCAACAACAGTGACCTGGCTTGGAAAGCTGGTGCTTTGTGAGAAAGAGGTGCTGGTTTGATTCTACAGGCACATATAAGCAGCATTTTTCTGCCAGGATTTATCTAAATTTCCCCAGCGATGCCTTACCCCATTTCAGGGCTGCATATCAGTCTCTCCCTTCACCCACCCAAGGTTCTCCATTCTGTTTCTTGACCCACCAGCAGGGAACTGCTTTGAGCAGTTTTGCAACATTCACTGCCACTGAGTTGTTGTTGTTGTTGTTGTTGTTGTTGTTGTTGTTGTTGTTGTTGTTATTATTATTATTATAGCATTTCTATGCCGCCCCTTGCCGAAACCTCGGGGCGGCTTACAACATGATAAAATACATTGAAATACAATAGTACATAATAAATTACCATTAAATATAAAAATACAAAGAATACATTGATTTACAAAAATAAAATTAAAATTATCAGTATAAAATAAAAATATAGGAGGAGAAAGAGAAGGAAGAAGAAGTTGCCCTGGCCAGATCATATGTTTTAACAATTGAAATGATGTTTAAATAAAAAGGTCTTTACCTGGCGCCGAAAAACCAGTAACGACGGTGCCAGGCGGAGAGTTCTTACAGGTCTGATTTTGTCAGACTTGGGCAAACCACAAGGTGCCCCAGATATGCCAAGAACTCCCTCTGGCAGTGGAAAGGGCACTTTGGACTCCAGCACAGTGAGCCCTGGAACGTATAATTGATCTCACAAGAAGGATTTTAAATTGCATGTTTTCCAATAGTTACTACTACTATCCAGCGGGCATTTTTCCTTCTCTGCCCATTCTCACATGCTGTCCTCTTGCAGCTGCAGCAAAGCCAGAAGGACTTCATCTGTTATGGCCTCAGCTACACCGTTCACAGGTATGGAGGAGGAAACCACATGTCCCATCTGCCTGGAGCATCTGAAAGACCCCGTGACTCTGGACTGCGGCCACAACTATTGCCAGGCCTGCATCTCAAAGTACTGTGAGTCCTGGGGAGAGGTGGGGGACTTGGAGTGTCCCATCTGCAAAGCCCCCTTCAAGAAGGGAAACTTCCGGCCCAACTGGCAGCTGGCAAGTATAGTAAAAAAAATTCAGCTCCTCCTGCTGGAGAAAGAGCAGCTGTGTGCGACACACCAGGAAAAACTCCTTCTGTTCTGCAAAGAAGATGAAGAATTGGTCTGCTGGAAGTGTAAGCACTCCCCAGAACATGAAACGCACACAGTGCTTCTCAAGGAGGAGGTTGCCCAGCAGTGCAAGGTACGGAGGCATCTAAATCTATAGTGCTGGAATCCTTTCAGTTAAGCTTACTGAGTTGTTATTCCAGGCTGTTGTTGGAATTTGGCAACGTGGGCTTGTGGGGCCCCAGACTCACAGCCAAATAAAAGTCTTGAGACAAGACTATGAACAAAATAGGAGCTTTATTCCAGCGCACGGTGAAACAAAGTGGAGGCAGAGGAGGTGTGTTCCCGAAGCGATGTCTCCATAATTGCCCCTTAAAACGTGCATTTTAAACCGTACATAAGCTACTGATCATCTAATGTGATATAGATTAGATACATCCTCCCTTGCTGCCCAGTTCGAAGAGCCGTTTCTTCCTCCAAGGACTGGCCATTCCTCATGTCATGTCCATTCCTTTTCTCCGCGTAATTCACACTAGCCTGACATAGTCTACTCCCTCCAATTAGCAAAACATATTGCAACTTTTATGGTGGTGCTAGCTGTTTCTCGCTGTCCCCTTTGTTTAGTTGAGTTCATTTTAGCTAGTTAGCTGTGGGTTACACAAAGTTCATCTTGCACTCATTGCCCTCCTCACACCCAAGACAGGAAGTTCAATATGGTTGTTGTGACCCAACTGCTTGTAACTGTAGTAAAAGAAATTTAGGTAAGGGCCGATTTCAGCAACAAGGATACGCTCTTTTATTCTGCCTGAAAAGCAACTCTCACGCTGACAGAATCCTGGATTTCATTTTGTGAAGCATTAACACTCAGATTTGTGGGGAAGATCAAACATTTGAACCTCCGCGGTTTTATTGATCAGTGCCCCAGTACCTACAGTAACTAATGATAATGCATTACTGGGTAGAGGCAAACTCAACTACAAAATCACAGCCCATGTACAGACACTTTTTTAACCTGCTGGTTAAACATACACCAATACAGAGTGTTAAGTTTCCAAATAATGTTAGTACAATAGCATCTTGAGGTCCTTAGGCATGACATAATGTTCTAAACTGGTCAGAAATACTGATAACAAGAGTATGGAAAATATTACTCATAGTTTTATTGACATTTCAATTAAGTAGATCCCTTGCAGTTTGGACCAGCCCCTGTGTCTGCTTAAACATGCAAATGTGTCTGATTGAGGAACCATTCAGGAAAACTGGTTTGACAAGTACACTGCCAGGCACTTGCCTCTGTTGATCTAGAATGATTGCAACCACCCTAATTTGCATGATTAAAATTCACAGCTAAGACTCAATAATGCTTGCTTTCCTGAATCATGAAGTCTGTCTCCTGTAATCAACGCTATTGTCCCCTCTGCAGATCTCTCACATTCTTTTGACTATGTTCTCTTTATTTCATCTTCACCTGCCCTGTTGCTATGACATGTGACTCAGAACCTATAAAACACTCTGTATATGTTCTGGAAGTTTGTAGCTGGTTTCAACCTCTACCTGGCGGTGCTGTTCGTAAGGTTTGCCTCTTCAGAGTGTACCTGAGGGCTCATTCTAATAAATCTACTGAGGTTTGTAATGAAATCCATCTCTCCCTGTGAATCCAAGTGTACGCCTTGTGACTGGAACAGAGACTCTGACACATGTCACCTCTGGTAAAGGAGGAAGCGTGTGGCCAGCTAGGCTAGTGGCCACTAATAACCCTCTCCCTCATGAACCTGTCCAATCCTGTTAAAGTCATCCGGATTGGATGCTATCACCACTTCCCCTGGCAGCACATTGCACAGCCCAACTATATGCTGTGTGAAGCGATATCTGAGAGCCGTTTCAGCTAATGGGCTGTATGTCACCATCCTGCACAGCAGTGATGTCAGACTCCCACACACCCCTCTTTTGGCGAGCAAAGGGAAGCCCTTTTTATCCCTCCCTCCCCACTGCTGGGCCATAGCACGGGTCAGCAGGGCAGCGCTGTGGCTGAGTGGCTGGAATGGAAGAGCCACCCCATCCCAGGCTGGAAGCTGAGCTGGGAGAGAAGGGCCACCCAGAAGTATCTCCTCCCTTTTCACCTTGGCAGGCACATGTGGAAGGAAAGCAGAGGCTGTGTTTGAAAGGTCCTGGGAGCTTTTGTCCCTGCTCCCTTCATTGCTCCTGCAGTTCCCCGAGATACTGTGGGGGGAAGGTTTGTGGAAGGAGGTACCTCTGACCCCCCCCCCCCACTGTACCCATATTTAACCAGGCAGTGCAGAGTTCCCCAGGCAAATTTAAGCTGTCAGGTTGATCAAAGATGTGGCCCTGGGGCCTGAGAACTGCTACTTACTGGTTTGTTGCTTGGGTCTGAAAGACTGCCTTCCCTCTGATTTTCCCCTTGCGAACGTGGCTCTGTCATGATCAGCAGCCGAGCTCCAGTCCAGAGGGCCTGAGCTTTTTGTGGTGTCCTTAAAGTTCATATCCTTCACTTTTCAGTAAGACCTGAAAGGACTGAAACTCTCCGGGGACAGTCCTGAGGAGGGGAATAATTCAGTGAGGAAAAGTCTGAAGCTTCCAAGCTCTTGATGCTCAGGGGAGACTCTACAGAACCTCTGCTTATTATCTCTTCTCCACCCCATCATGAATACTCTGCACATCCTCATTAGTGATCCTAGTAACATCTCGACTGGTATTTTGTGGTTCAGGGTCCTTGGCAGGAGGCATTGGAGCAGTCTGTGCCTTCGTATTTCAGCCCTGGGGAAGGTCTTGAAAAATACATGTTTGCCTCTGTTAATGAAAGGCAAATATCGAAAAGAGTTTCAGAGAGGTTTTGGATATTTTATTTATTTATTTATTTATTGCAAGCATTTATGTCCCGTCCTTCTGCCAAGCACTCAGGACGGCTTACAAAATATAAAATTACAATAAAAAACCTCAATTATTAAAACAATATAAAACAGCACATCATGAACTTAAGAAAAAATATGAAAATGTGACTGTGAAAAGAGGAAAAAGAAAAAAAATCCTAAAACATCTAAAACCCTTGATTATTAAAATAATGGTTGAATAAAAAGGTCTTTACCTGGCACTGGAAAGAGTATATATGAAGGGGACTGGCCTTCCCCACCCACCCCATCTCAGGGAGCATTATTAAAATCAGACTCCACATGATGTAAAACATTTGTGGGCTAAATAGGATCAGAGCAGTCCTGGAGAGCCTCATCCAACCACCCTGCAAAGGGGGACAAAACTCCTCTTTCTCCCTTCCTCACAGAAGCACATGTGCATGTTTTTTTCTCTTCAGGATTGGATCCATCATCACCTGGAGATTCTCAGGGAGGAGAGAGAGAAACTTATAAGGTACAAAGAAGACACAGAAAAGGAAAAGGAACACCTGCTTGTAAGCATCAAGTAATACAGATGAATCAAGGGCTTCAGGGCAGCCCTCCTCTGCAGAGTATGCATGGAACTGTCTAAGCTACTCTGAGGGACTGTGGGTGGTGCTGTGGTTTAAACTGCTAAGCCGCTGGGCTGGTTGATCAAAAGGTCGACAATTTGAATCTTCAGACTGGGTGAGCTCTGGTGCTTTGTCCCAGCTCCTGCCAACCTTGCAGTTAGAAAGCAAGTAGATAAAAACCTTCGGTGGGAAGGTAAGTGTTCTGTGCACCTCGAAACTGTCTGCAGACAAACGCTGGCTCCCTTGGCTAGGAAACAGAGATGAGCACCCCCCCCCCCCCCGAGCCAGACATGACTGGACTTTAATGTCATGAAGGAACCTTTACCTTTTTACCCTGAACGTTAACGAAAGGCCATCCTGGGAGTGGGTCCTTGTACAGCTTTAGGAAGAAGACTGGCCTTGTTTCTGACTCTGGGTACCTTTGCTCCCCTTGCAGAAGCGAATGAAAGAAGAGCGGGAAAAGACAGTGGCTCAGTTCAGAGAATTATATCAGTGCTTAGAGAAACACAAGAAGTATCTGCTGGACCAGATGGAAGAACTGGAGGAGGAGATTGCTAGGAGAGGGGCTGAGAATCTGGCCAGGCTCTCTGGGAAACTCTCCTCCCTTGAAGGTAACATCCAGGAGTTGGAGGAGAAGAGTCAGAAGCTGGCGAGTGAACTCCTAAAGGTAAGACAGGGACTGCCATCCCTAGGCTCCGTTCCTAAGAGAAAGATTACGTCAAAAGCTATGGAAGGAAGGGCCCAGGACAGGCACTGCAAACCCCTAGGATGCTTTGGAACCTGAAGTGGTGCCTTGAAGAAAAATTCTTCTCTTGGTAAAAGGGAAGATACTGACAAAAAAGTAGTCTTGCCTAATGGTATGGCAAATCAGGAAGACTAGGGCAGGTGTGACATTCCTGAGCTAATCAAAATTGCAAATGTATAGGACAGGCACATGTTAATCCATTTTTTTTCATGCATGTTTCAGTCGCCAATTGATGTTCCCAACACATTAGTACATTAGTGGCCCACAGACATGCTGCTGTTAGGACAGAATATGGAGAGACAGGGTGGGTTTCCTATAGACAGAGGTGTCAGACAAGGGTGTATTTTAGCTCCTTATCTGTTCAATCTGTATGCAAAACATATCATAAGGAAAACTGGATTAGATTCAAGGATTGAAAATTGGTGGAAGACTCATCACTAATTTAAGATATGCAGATGATACAAACTACTGCCAGATAGCAGCTATGAAACCTGGTGCTGGAGGGGAGCTTTGCAAATACCCTGGAGTGACAGAGAGAAAAACAGGAGGATCCCAGAGCAAGTCAAGGCAGAGCTTTCCCTAGAAGCAAAAATGTCAAAAATGAGGTTGTCATAGTTTGGAACATCATGAGAAGGCAAGACTCCCTGTGGAAGACATCACACTAGGGAAAGTCAAAGACAGAAGAAGAGGAGGAAGACTACCATGAGATGGATCATCTCCAATAAGGAAACCGCAGCCTTCAGTTTATAAGAGCTGAGCAGGGCTGTCATGGCCAGGACATTTTGGAGGAATTAATTAATTAATAGGGTCCCCAGGAGAGAGAGAGGAAAGGAAAATGAAGCCCTGTCTAGCGTCCAGAAAATCCCAGAATTCCAAGTGCACATCCATTAACATACACATCAGCTCTTTCCTCTTGTGGAAAGCCAGGGATGTAACTCAAAAGTTCTTTAAACTCTACAGTAGTTTGAAAGTAACATCCAGGTGATACCTTCCATTTTTTTTAGTGGAGGCTGTTGAACAGGACAGGGCAGAGTGCGTCTCCATCACGTCATGCGACAGGAACTGAGCACCCTCTTTTTTCTCCCTCTTTCCCCTCTAGGATGTGAAAATCGTCTTGGAGAGGTGAGTTGATCCCCTCATTTCCACTGGTGTGAGGTGCAGAACAGATGACATGGGAAGAACCTGCTCCCCCAGGCTCCTAGGCAGAAAATATAGGTCACCAACATCTCACAAGACAAAAACAGGGTCCCGTATTCTGAAATTGGACCACTCCTATTTAGCCCCATCCATCACACATGGCTGAAATCTCTTTTCTGCCTGTAAAACACACTCCCCACCTAAAACACACCTACAAAACCCCCACAAGTGAAATATCCTCCTGAAAAAAATGCGGATAGTGTACATCACTAATCCTACGTTTAACTAAACATAAGCACAGACAGAATAGCCGGACTACCTCAATCACCTGAAGCCATGCCCACTTGTGTGGCTATTGAAGGGCTCTCTGGGGTCAGTGTGGCCTCACCCCCTCGAGAAAAGAATATCCATCCTTTGCTCTAAGCTGGCTCTCCTTTGCTCCCAGAGGGAATACTGGGTTAGATGAGTGGAGGCTATCTTGGTTTTCTTCAGCAGGTGTGAGAAGGAGCCCTTTGAGAACCCAGTGGCTTTCCCTACAGAGCTGAAGTGGAGGATCTGGAACTTCTGTGACATAAATCCCTTTCTGGAAGGAGTCATGAGGCAATTCAAAGGTATTAAAACATGGCTGGAAAGATCCTCTCCTCTCCTATAGGATGGTCTCAGCTGATGATCTTAAGCAATGGGCAGGAATGTATGGAGTAAGGTTCCATAAGATAATGTGGTCCCAAGTCATTAAGGCTTTATATGAAATAGTCAAAATTTTGAATTTGGCCCAGGCTAGAACAGTCAGCCAGTGCAACTTACGTATGACAGCTGTAATATGTTCATAAGAACTGGACCTTGTTAGCAACCATGCTGCCCTGTTCTGGATCATTTCAAGAGTCCAGACCATCTTCAAGGGAAGGCCCACGTACAGTGGATTATAGTAGTTTGATCTAGAGGCTACTAGTGCATGAATGATCATGGCAAGACTACCAACCTCTAAGTAGGAGAGTAGTTAGTAAATCAACCAAAGCTGATTAAAGGTGATTCTGGCAACTGAGTCCACCTGGGTGACCAGAGATAGCTCAGGAGCCAGGAAAACTCCCATACTATGAACCTTGTCCTTTATGGGGAGAACAACCTCATCCAGGAGAGGGTTACAATATCCCAGATGCAATGAAGGTTTACTCACCAAGGCAACATATCAGAATTGAGCTGGAGCTTGCTGACCCCCATCCCATCCATTACTGAGTTCAAACACTGATTGAGGATAGACACCACACCTCTCAGATGAAAATGAGAGGAAGAGCTCAGTATCATCAGCATATTGATGAAACTTCAGCCCAACCCCCCTAATGACTTTTCCCAGTGGTTTTATGTAAAACTTGAAAGGCGTAGGGGACAAAATAGAGCCCTGTAGGACTCCATGGTGCAGAGCAATAATCCCCTGGCACCACCACCTGGAGATGGTCTGCCAGGTAGGAGTGGAGCTAGTGAAATGTGGTGCCCCTAACTCCCAACCCAGCTAGCTGCTCCAGAAGGGTATCATGTTGGATGGTATGGGAATCTGCTGAGAGGCCTGGGAGAATCAACAGAGTTGCTTTACCCCTCTCTCCTAGCAAAGATCATCCCACAGAACTATCAAGGCAGTCTCAGTCCCAAAACCAGGACTGAAACCCATTTGAAATGGATTGAGATGGTCCATTTCCTCCAAGAGAGCCTGGAGTTGCCTGGCCACCAGTCACCTTGCCAGAAGGGGACTTTGGCTACTCTATAGTTATTCACTTCATTTGGGTACAGGTTTGACCATTTTTTGCGGGTGGGGGGAGGGTGTAACCATGGCAGTTTGCAGTTTGGCCAGCACCACCCCCTAGTTCAGGGAGGCATTTATGGCCTCCAGGCCCCAGGTGCAGATCCCCTCCCTTGATCTTCCAATCAGCCAAGATGGGAAAGGATCGGGCAAGCAAGTGGTAGGCCAGTTTGGCCAGACATCTTGTCCACATCATTGGGCTGCAAAGGCAGAAACTCTTCCAGCAAGGATAGACACTGGGCACCTCCAATAGTTTTTTTTATAATAAGTTTTATTCAAAATTATAATCCTAAAAACAAAGAAAAACTAAAAACAACATCAATCATCAAAAACACTGGGCCTGCTGGGTCAGCCCCCACATTTTTTTTTCCATTTATGATAACTTAGAAACTTATTTAAATCTATAGGAAGTCCCATTTTTCTAGCCAATAATAAAAAGGATCCCAAGTTTGATAGAAATCAGTATCTTCTTTCTCCTTCAATGACAAAGTCAATCTATCCATTTCTGCACAGCTCAAGATCTTTTTTAGGATCAGTTCATCGGTGGGTGGTGGCACCTCCAATGGTAATGCTGTGGTAAATGTGGTGTCCAAGTCAGAGTGGATACAAGCAATTTTATCCTTGAAATGCTGGGCAAACTTGTCACTGCGAGCTGCCAAGAGCTCAGCAGCTTCCTTCTTGGGGCCAGAACATAAAAGGCGCCTGGTCTACCCAGAAGCAAATTAGCTCAAAGTGGACTAAAATGGTCGACTATCAGGAGGGTCCACAGTTGGCTGCAGAATCAGACTCAAAAGGTGCTTCTCAATGTAGCAGAAAAACAACATACACATTCACACCACTGGGGTCATGAAGGCTATCAGTTTGGATGGCTTGCAAAGGAGATTGAGATTGGGCAGATACTTGGAGGTGGTCCTGGCTTGTATGCCGGCTCCAGTCTCTGAGACAATGACTGGGCTCCCTAATTACCACGAAAAAGGTGGCTATCAGATTTTATTTCCTCAAATTCAAGGAAGAGAAGGCTATGAATGGTTTCTAGTCCCGGTGGTTATATGCTGTCCCCACTACCAGATGAACTGTGCTGAGGAGCATGGGTGGGAGGATGCTGTTGCACTGAGATCCTGCCTATAGAATCCTATGGGAAGCTGGTTGCCAGTGCTGAATACGCATTAGACTAGACCAGGGGTCGGCAACCTTTAACACTCAAAGAGCCATTTGGACCTGTTTCCCACACAAAAGAAAACACTGGGAGCCGCAAAACCCTTTTGACATCTAAAATGAAGATAACACTGCATATATCATTTTTTACCTTAATGCTATGTATATCTTCATTATGATTTAACTGCAGCTCTTGTTCAGTCACTAAAAACTGTTATTTTTAATCTTACATTATAAACTAGTAGGATTCTTTTCATATATTTTGAATAGGAGAACAGCTTCCTGCAGAGTCAAAGTCAGTGCTAAAGGGCTGCATGCATTAAACAGCAAACCCCATAAGTACGTCAGCAGTAAAAGCAAATGAATCTACCCACGTGTCATTAAACGTTTGGTTTTCTTCAGAAACTTTTCTTTTCTTCAATTTATCCATGGTTGGCCTACCGAGGCGGGGAGGGAGCTCAGTAAATCTGCACAGGTCCGCAAGCTTTTATCATTCAGATGAAGGAGATTACACTGGGGCAAAGAGAATCTTTTCAGCAGAGTTTTGTGTAACATGAGAGCCTGCAGGAAGCTTGTTTAGCAGAGGAATGTAGCGATTCACTTAACTAGCTAGCACTGCGTTCCTGAGTGGAGCTTCTTCGAGCGGATCAGCGGTTGTGCTGGCGCATGTTTTGAGTGACGAAGCCACAGCAGAGGGGTTCAAGAGCCACGTGTGGCTCCAGAGCTGTGGGTTGCCGACCCCTGGACTAGACGTACTGTGCACTGCCCCCTCCCTGTCCCCACAAGCCAGGTACCAGCTCATTAAGTCATCCAGCTCTCCAAGCATGCCACCTCCTCCTCGACCCTACCCCATCAAGCCATGTGAGGTTCTATACAACATGGCAGCCATTCCCCAGTGTGCCAAAGCTGCTGCCTGGAGCACCATCTGCCACTGTTTCCTGACTGTGCCCCTTTCTGAGTTGAGGTCTTTATGTGCACAGGAAAAATTTCTTCATAAATTTGCATGTGCAAATAGATCAAGGTGTCACTGATGTGATAATCATATCCCTCTTGCCTCTCTAGCTGCTAAAACTACAGGAGGAACTCTGCCTATTTAATTTGTCAGATACCACCCAGTTGGAAAAAGGATCTAGACAGGAAGATTCCAGACCTGGCCAGTGGGGAACATTTAATCTAAGTGGGAAAAAGCAAAATTGTAGTACCAGTCAACAAAAGTTCAATTTGCTTGGCAAGGCTAATTTGATGGCGAACTGCTTAATCTTTATGTCTTGTTCCTCTCCAGGTGCCCTCCTCTCTGGACCGCAGGCAACAAAAGGTAAATCTCGAGTGAAGACCAATTTTACAGGAATGATGTGTCCTGGGCAGGCATTTTCCCACTGTACTTCCTTGGGTTCATACTCCTCTGTCTTGCCCACTTAGAGAGTTAATGCATTAAAGTTTCCAACTCAGGATAATTGGCATTTTGCAAATCGTTAGAAGGGAAAGTGCTCGTGGACTGTCCACTGAATGGCCCGACGTGCACAAATCTCCAGGGGAAGCCAGCTAGAACCCCGAAATAGTTACTTTTATGGCAATGAGATGCTTAGCAAGCCCAGCTCTGAGTGGTTCTGTGCTTTTAAAAAGGATCCCAGCAGAACCTCACACAGCAGATCTGCCCAGAGGATCAAAGGGCTGGAAGACAGCCTGGAGTCCTGTCCAGCACTGAGGTTAGAGGTGTGTTATCCAAGACATTCCCTGTGCCATCATGATTTCTTTTTTACACTCATTTATGGACTCTTGCAAAAATGCTGTGATGCTTCAGTTTCACTTCTGTTTTGTTTTATTTTTAGAACACTTTCCCAGGTTTGGGGCTTGTATGTTTTTTAAACCTCTCCTTTCCAGAGGTTTTTGGACCACAACTCCCATTATCCCTGACACTGACTATGTTGGCTAGGTTTCATGGGAACATCTGAAGGGTCAGATGTTCTCCACCCTTTTTCACTAGATTTCTGAACTGTAATACCTCCATACTGAGATCCCCAGTTGGAAATGTGCTATCTCAGCCTGAATTCTCATGAGCTGGAGCCAGTGCCACCATTAACCATTATACAGCTGCAAAGCTTCTAGTGGCCAGTCCCCACAGGGGGCATCAAGGGGTGGGTGACCTCTCCCCTCTCCTGTCCACTTCATGCCCCCTTCTCTCCAAGAGAAGCAAGACCTTCCAGGTGAGGGCCCCTAGCCATGCCAATGAGGAGCCCTGAGGCAAATCCACCAGTTTTTTCCTGAACAAGTTTTTAGTCCTAAAAAAAAAAGACAGAAGGAATTGTGAGAAAACAGAGGGGTGCTATGAATGGAAGATGCAGTGTGGAAGATGCGGATGTGGCTTGTTGCCAGGGAGATAGGAGCAAATGGAGGGGAGGGAGCTTGGTCCTTCTGGATGGGCAATAATGCAAAGAGAGGGAAAGGATGGAGAGGAGTGGGGAAATGGGTTTAGTGAACTGTGAATTCTGCCTTTAGGGTGTGGGTTATTAAGCAGCTGTTTTTATACTCCTCTGTTTTCATTTTACTTAATTTTAAAGGCAATCAGAGATTCCTGTGGCATGTTCATACTTAAGATGTAGATCTTTATTGCTCAGTCTTCTCTTTTCTGCTTCTCTCTCCATCCCCAACAGCAAATGTGACCCTGGATCCAGTCACAGCGGATCCCTGGCTCATCCTGTCTGAGGATCAGAAAAGAATGGGCTGTGGGCATCACCAGAATGTCTGTGAACAGAAAGAACCTGGTTCCCTTTTCTCCCCAGGAGGGGTTCTGGGTTTTGAGGGACTTGCAAGGCACATACAAAGCTTGCAATTATGCTCATTCTGTTCTGTCTGTACCTGTGGGGCTGAAGAGGATCCGGTGTCTGAATTGTGAGGGGGGTGCCTGGCCTTTTATGATGCTGACCAAGGGACCCTCCTCCACGTCTTCACTGGGGTCTCATTTGCAGGAGAGACCCTCTTCCCTTTCTTCTATGTTTATAAGGATGCCTTCCTCAGGATCACTTCATAAGGCCACCAGGAGCCTTCCTCGAATGGGCTCCTCTCCAGACCACAGAGATTCATCCAAAACCAATGCCTTTTCTAGTCAAGGGCTACTTTGCCCCTTTTGCAGAGCCTCCCAGAAAGGCTTCCAGTCACAAATACCAGGATAAAATGAACCACAAGGATGCTCAATTTCTTCCTCCGCTTCCAAGATTTTCCTCTCTGGCTTGCTTCTCAAGTAGGCAGAAGCCCAAGCATAAGTCACAGAGTTCAACTCTCAGAAATGTCCCCATTGCAGTGAATTTCAGCTGATATTTCCATTTTCTGTCTATCCTTTCCAAAAGAACTCGAGTACATGGGCCTGTGTGATGCTCAAGAACCTTTAATCCAATATGGCACCCAGAGATGACTTTTGCCCTAGCCTAGTGTGGTGCTTGGGGGAAAGAGGAGCATTTGGTTATAGCAGAGTAGAATTCAAGGAGAGCAAGACAGGCATGCACAATGTTATTCCCAAATAGAAATTTATTTATTTATTTGTATGCACACGTGTTTGATTTATATGCTGCTTTTTTCTTACAATGAACTCAAAGAGGCTTACATCCTTCTCTTACTGCTGTTCTGAGTCTTATTATTTAGTTATTGATTAGATTTATATCCCACTTTTTTCTTACATCAAGCTCAAAGAGGTTTATATCCTTCTCCTCCTGCTGCTGTCCATCTTATCCCCACAACAGCAACCCTGTGAGGTAGGTTGGACTGAGAATGATCCAGTTTACAATCATGTGATCCAGTTTACTCATGCAAACCACTGGCCAGGGGTCCAGGAACAAAGTGCCCAAATAGGTGCTGCTAAGGCCAATTTTAAGTCATTCTTTATCAAAGGATGATCTTGGACTGCATGTCAGGGAGACCCCAAGGAGGTTTCATGAAGGTAAGGAAATGGTCCATCAAGGCTGATATTTGTTCAACCACAGGATGTGGACATGGAACATAAGAAAAGACCTGCTACATCAGATCCAAGGTTCATCCAGTCCAGCGCTCCATGCACACAGTGGTAAACCAGCCTGCCTCAGGATCCCTCAAGCAGGATTGGTGCGAGGCCTCCATCCACCCAAACTCCTCAGCAACTGGTGCATGAAGGCATGCCACCTCTGGTAAAGAAAGTAGCACATGGACAAATTGGCTAGTAGCCATGGATAACCTCCTCTCCCATGCATCCATCCAATCCCCTTTCAAAGCCATCCAAAGTGCAAAGAATCCTTTGAGTGGTGAGAGCAAGGCCCTGGTACATTACCCTTCCCTTCTTTGCTTATATTAGCAACTGGAGGAAGTGGGGACAGGGATGGATTGAGTAGGTAAGGGCAGTGGTAACTCACCCTTTATGCTGATGCATTGAACAGTTTCTGACAAGTCTCCAATATTCCATTTGTCAAGGCCCTGGCAAGAAGGCTCAGATTTCAGGAAAACTTTCCTTGCAAGAATTCCCTTTGTCTTAGTGCCTTTTCCAGTCCAAATGCGAATCAGCAAAGAACAGATTGCAACATAGTTCCTTAACCAAGATGAGTTTCTGGGCTTCCCAACAACAGATCCTTGTTCAGCTTAAGTCCAAATGAGCTTGGAGTGCCAACAAAGAAATGGAGCAAGGAAGCTTTTCATATTAGAAAGTTGTTGTGCATCTGGCAATGCCTGCTGCCTCCTGCTCATTTAAATAGCTTATTTAAATAAAGGAGAATGTCACTGTTTGACAAAAAAATCCTGGCAAAGATACCTAGCTCCCATACATGCACAACTCCTCAATGAATGGCTCTCTTTGGTGGAAATCACACAAAGACAACTAGGAAGCCCCACCTGAAGTCCTCACCCTGCTACCTACTTTAAAGAAGACAAATATCCCACCTGTGGAAGACAGGATTTCTAGTCCAGCCTCTCCCACCTCATAACCGGCTGGGAATGGTCACACTCACAGTCTTACAATCAATGTTGTTGATTGCACAATGTATCTAATATCTATAATCTATTAGCTCAAATTAGTGACTGGTTGTGGTCTTTAATGAGAATGAGTGTGCCCCCAGTGACCTAAGCAGTCCATATTACCTCTCTGCACACATACGCCTAATTCTGAAACACATACATGTACATACATACACTTATAAATGTACAAAGATAAGATCATGAAGCCTTGGGCAGAACAAATGTTTTTCACTCTGTATCAGGCAAAATCAAGGGGATTGAGTCCTCCATAGCACACCTTGAATGGTGAAGAGCATGAGTGTGAGACCTCCTCGTCCTCTGCACACTGGCATAGAACAGTGTGGGTGCGTTCCCCATTTGCTTTTGGTCGCACTTGATCTCCCAACAGCAGTCTGTGGTGATTCAGTAATGTTTAACTTTGCTATGAACTGCCCAAGGTGTTGGGAACTATCGAATTGGGAAGCACGGACAATGCAGAGCCCCCTCCAACCTTGCAATGGTTCCTTCATTGAAGGACAGAAAGGATGCAGCTGCAAGTCTCACAATTATGGCCTATGCTCAACTCATTCACCTCTTTGGATCCTAGAATTTCCCAAATGTTGGGAGGCAAGTGATGGCAAAGGAGTAGAGGCTGTCAAATCCCCAGTTCATTCTGAGTTGTTCATGGTCAAGAAGAAACTCAGTACAGCATAAGGCAGAAGGTAGAAATTGATGACAGGTTTGCTGTAGATGTTTGTTTATTATATTTCTACATTGCCCATCAGCACAAATGTTCCCTCAGCAGTTTACAGAACAGAAAACTGCAATAATTAAAATTATTAATTCATTACTTGTTGTTTACAAAATATTAAATATTTATAATTTAATACAACAGTCATTATAAAATCAAAACAATCCAATTAATATAAATAGAGTGATAAAATAAAACAGTGATCCATCCACCTTGACTGAGGCTAAATTCATTTTAGGGGTACAGTAGTAAAATACAGTAAAAATGGAAATAAAAATCCAGCTATTGAAATATTGGAAAAATAAAACATTTTTCACATTACACAATGTGTCTACTGTCAGCACAGCCTACTCATCAAAAATGTGTGATGATGACTTTCAATACACACAGAATGGCATCTCACAGAAAGTTCCACTGTGGATTTTGAAAAACGCTTACCTTACGGGAAAAACAACAAGAAATGTGAGGGGAAAAAAACCTCAGGATAGTTGTGGCTTTGAGAGTCTTATTTGAAAATGAAACAAACAAGATCACATTAAAGTCTGTGTTGATATATATTATGGGGAACCGTGAAATATTGGCTGGAAAACAAATTGCTGAGAAATTCATTAAAATGAAGGATTTCCTGATTATTATTTCCTCATGAGGTGATCTTGGCTGTTGAGTTCGGGCTTCAGCAGGATAATGTAGCATTTGGGGAGGAAGATGCAACCCAGCAGGCCGGCCCCAGAAGCCAGGATGGAGAAGATCTCCACAGCCACCATGGCCTTCCCCTTGGTGCTCAGGTAGGTGGGCACAAAGGACACCCACACGCTGCAGAAGACCAGCATGCTGAAGGTGATAAACTTTGCCTCATTGAAGCTGTCGGGCAACTTCCTTGCTAGGAAAGCTACAATGAAGCTGACAGAAGACATGAATCCCATGTAACCCAGTGAGGCATAAAACATCATGGCTGAGCCTTTGTTGCATTCCATGATCATCTGTCCTACCAAAGAATGAAAGTCCACACTGGGGAAAGGGGGAGAGGTTATCAGCCAGGCAACACAGATGACTGCTTGGAGGAGGGGACAGACCAACATGATATAATTTGTCAGTGGTCCCCCCACAAGTTTTCTGGCCATGTTTCCTGGCTTGGTGGCCATGAATGCCAGAACCACCATCACTGTTTTTGCCAGAATGGAAGAAATGGCAACGGAGAAGGTGATGCTGAAAGCAGATTGGCGCAGAAGGCAGGTGACCTTGGAGGGCTGTCCGATGAATAAAAAAGAGCAGAGGAAGCAGAGCAGGAGAGAGGTAAGGAGAATGTAGGTGAGGTCCCGGTTATTGGCTTTGACGATGGGAGTGCAGTGCTGTATAATGAAGATTGCCAGAACTAGAAATGTGAGCAGAGAGAGGGAAAGAGCGAGGGAAGCTAAAACTGTCCCCAGTGTATCTTGAAAGGAGGGGAAGTGGATCCTCTTGGGGATACACTGGTCCTGCTTCTGGTTTGGGTGCTGATCTTCTGGACATGGCACACAGCGATTGGCATCTGGAATGAGCAACAACTGGTGAAGCATCTCTCACATGGTACAAGATCTCTTCTTTGGGTGGACACAAGGAATGAAAGGAACAAACCAAGAAATGTTGTTTCAACATTGCTCTGGCGAGCAATGCTTCAGTTCCTCTCCTCAAGCTGAGAACAAATCGTAGCATCTCTTGCTGCATCTTTTACTAAATTCAGCACTTCTGACCTGCCTTTTGTGGGAGACTGGAAGGATGGCAAAGCATCTTCAGTATCGGGAACAGTTTTGAGCTCATAGCAAAAGCAATCCTTCTGTACACAATGATGTACAAGGCAGCTTCAGCGCATTTCTTTCTGGGGCCCTTTCTAACACTATGAGGACCAGAAGGACTTGTCATGGCTACGAGATTCAATCTCAGCTGTTTAACACTTGAGAAGTTCAGGACACCACTCAGTAAGCCTGAACCTTCTCTTAGTTATCCTTCCAGGGGGACCACTAAAACACAGGCCTTTCCTTCCCAATGGGAACATAACAGATAAGAGCTCATGCACAGGTTGCAAGAGACAACATGGCAGAGGAGGTGGAGGCAGCAGCGGTTTGGATCCACAGTGGGGTATCATGCCCTGAATTTTAAGAGAGACTTTCTATTATGGAAAGTAAATGACTGCACATGCAAGAATAAAACTGCCCTTGGTGTGAGGTCTCTTTCAGCTTGAGCAACTCATTAATTCATTCAGCTTATATTCTGCTTTAATAAGTGTGAAGACTCTCTAAGCAAATTATATTTAAGATAAAATGACATCAAATTTTAAAGCACATAAAAGC